GCCTCCGCCGGCGCGCCTCGCAGCTCAAGGTCAAGATCCCCGACCTCACGGACGTGAACTCCATAGACAAGTGGTCCCGAATGTTTTTCCCCATCACCTTTTCCCTTTTCAACGTCGTTTACTGGCTTTACTATGTACACTAAGGTCCGTCCTGACGGCTCCCGGGCGACTGCTTCCCGCTCCCCTTTGGTGTTCACCCCACAGGTCCCCGGCGGCGGTACCGCTGCGCTTTTTGAGGTAAGACATTCAGCCATCTAATTGGTTTTAGGTTTTGCATATCGATTTTATTACTGCACCATGTTTACTTCAAAAAACAACAACAACAACAAAAACACAAACCACAAACAAAAAAACTCTTTTTTTCCAGTCTACTGTGGTCCAGGTTATCCGCTCTTTCGGAGCCCTATTAATTGCCATGTTTACAAACACGCGGGGAGAGCGTTAGATGGCGGTTCTTGAGCAGCCCTTCCTAGTTGCCCTGGATTGCATTGGCTTGTTTTTCAATAAAAATGAAAAGAGGACCCGGCTCTCTGTGCAAACTGCTTCCTGGTAAACTGTAACAATCTCATACTGCCAAAAAAACAACACAATTTCCAGGATCTCAGAAGAAAAAACACAAAGCCATTGACAAGTTACAGGTTTCCAGGAAGAAGAGAGAGCAGAAAGGAGCCCAGGGGAGGAAGGGAGACTCCTCTCCGCCCCTGGCTCCCGAGCGGCAGGGNCCGGGCCCGCTGCGGCCCCTCCACCTCGCCGGCCAGCCCGATGCTCTGAAAAACGCCTCTTTCTCACACGTCCAGGCTGAGTTGAAATTAGCATGAGAATCCAAGCTGGTAGCCATCGGGAAGGTTTTCCTTTCTTTCTGGAGAGTAAGGAGTTTGGGGAGTACCGACTTTTTTTCTCACTGTTTCAAATGGGCGGCCCTGAACTCATCCCGCAGCCTGGACTCTGCGGACCGCTGGCCCTGCGGCCGGGCCATCACACTTCCCGGGCCCCTGCTCCAGAGAGAGCGAGAGGAGGGGGCTGGGAGGCCAGGGCTTGAAGCTGGGGGTCATGAGCAACTCTTGCTCGAGAAAAATATTGCCCTTCCCATGAAGAAGGCAAGACTTATGTGCTGTGAAAAGGGTGCCTGGGCAGTTATCTGAACTGCCAAATCTTAAATCAAATGGTATATATTTCTTAGCCTTCCAGAGAGCAGTGTCTAACGGCGACAGGCTGGTGGCACAGGCCTCCGCGAGCACCTGAGGCTGTGCTCTCTGAGCTCTGCATTCCAATATACCAATCGATTGCTTCTGGAAATGCGCATACACCCGTTCTGGTGTGGTACTTCTCTGAGGCTGGGTTTCTGTTTTAAAGAAAACCTTCCGAAGGGCAAAACCACAGATAACAACAATGACAAACTCACTGGGCCTTCAAACATTGACACCAGACCCTGTCTGCACTCATTAATCACTGTCATCACTGCTCTGCCTTATCTCTGTTCATAGGTTGCTTTGGTCATGGTCGTCAGAGAAGGGTCATCTCTCAGTAGCCCAATACATGATTCTGAATATGTCCAAATAGCTGCAGATGAGATGCATCCCATTTTATGTCGTGAAAGACCCATTGCTTGTTTTCTTCTTTAGCTTGAGCATTAAAAAATTCTGTATGTTTATTTGCAAGGTTGTGTGAAACCCTNTATGTCGTGAAAGACCCATTGCTTGTTTTCTTCTTTAGCCTGAGCATTAAAAAATTCTGTATGTTTATTTGCAAGGTTGTGTGAAACCCTAAGTTTATCAACCAGTTATGGAGACGATTGGGACCTACTCTACGGATGTAAAATAAGGGTTGAGGAAATAAGAGGATGATTGCCTCATTTGAAGATCTGGCGTTCTTCCTAAGGCTATGATGAAGGTCCATGTTTACCATAGCATTGACTGCTAGAAAACAGTCTTAATTGAAAGATAAGGGTGAATACCTACTGATGAGCCCAAGGAGAGAAAGTTATAAGATATTTTTAGAAAGCAAGAGGAAAAGAGCATCCCAGAATAAATGAATGGTTATGGCTATAGATAATATACACTAGTAAAAATATAACAACTCTTCTTGAACTGGAAAAATTATCTCAGTGGTTTCATAAGAAATTAAGCAGGTATGGGGACCACATTTTTATTTAGGTTTTAATTGTATAATCACAGTTCCCTGGCCAAGGAAATCTTGAGCCTCTGGGGATAAGTGACCCATTGAAATTGATTGGTTCCTTGGCTGGGTGAGATGCTTTGCCATTGTAAAAATCCCAAATAGAGTGGAAAGTGACTGTACCAGTGACTGCAAGGTTAATATTCCCAATGACCACCCAGAAACCACTGTGTAGACATCTGTTTCAAACACAGAAAGGGAGGCTTTTGGCTAATGCCTAACAGGAATACATTGATGTCAAAGCTCCTTAAAAAACTTTTAAGGATGAAATGCTGAATCAGAAAGGAAGTATCTGTAATCCATGTTCCTTAACAAAACAACTTTTCTTTATCTGTTTAGATCACTCTTGGAAAAGATTGAGGTAATTTATATTTTTATTATTTTTTTAATCTTGCCTTAAAAGTCTATAGAATTGTATGCTTGAAGCTTAGGATGTAGCTCTAAGAAAAAAAGAACATTCTGAATTCTTATATCTTAACCTTTGTAAAATGTAAAATTTGTCAGCCTGAATATTCCATCAGGCACAAAATGGTGTCACTGTGTGCCCTCCTGGACGGTAAAGGGGTCACAGCCACCATTATGCAAATCCTGTTAAATAGCTCTGACTTTAGAGGCAATGGCAGCAAAAAAAAAAAAAAAAAAAAAAGAGAGAGAGAGAGAAGCTGCCATATTTCTGGTTATGACCCCTGTCCCCACTTCTTCCTTCTGGATGCCTCCTAGCCAAATCCTCCCCTCCTTAGGCCCCACCCACTCTTCTTGCAGGCTGAACAATTCATGGGGAAAAAGTCCTTCCTTCTTTGTCTCCTTCACTCATTTTGCCCCAAATAATGTACATAAGACATGAAAGTTGTTAGACATTCTTAAGTGCCCTCAAACTGATCCCATTCCTGAAAGATTCAGATCGATACGTAATAGAGGGGTTACCGTTCAACTATTATTTGGTTATTTTCTTTTTGCCATGAAAATAGCCATAATCACCTTCATTACTGAAGTAGCAGCGAGGCTGAAAATTGTGTCGACTATCTTATGCTCTAGTCATGTCCCAGGGACCCCATGTTCACGACTCATAAACTGTGACATATATTGTGTCATAAACGTCACCCGTGAGACCCAGCATGAATCCCATCTTTCACTTGACAGTGATGACTACACATTCATTCCTGCTGCTCCTGTTCTTTGGCTTAAAATATCAGGGGTGACATGTGCATTACACTTACCAGCTTCGTGAAGCAAAGACCCAGGTAAAGACATATTTTTGGCTTGAATTACCCAGGATTATTGCCGCCACCCTCTACATTGCAAATAGAAACAGCAGACTGGTTGTCAATTCTGCTGATTAAATGAAATGTGTTTTCATACATACCATCTAATTGTGCATTACAATCAATGAAGGATTTCAAAAGTGCCAAGAGAAAAATGTGGAGCAGAGAATAAACTTTGGTTTATGGATCCTTAAACAAGCAGTATGTACAATACACAGAAATGTTGACTAAATTCCATCTTTCTAAAATCAATGGCTACTTTATATTCATTTAAAAAAGAACTCAATCAAAATTTGCCAAGTTAAACAAAAAATAAGATATATTTATAATGCTAGAAGGAAACAATCTCCAAGATTTCTTATATGGACAATTTTGAATAGCATCTTACCAAAGGGTGATATGCCACAATCTTATCTCCTAAACAAAGTGTAATCGGATATCCCAGAGGGAAGAACAACATGTGCGAGCATTTGTTCACGTTGGTTCATTCAGCAGTTACTGGGATTAGGACAAACAAAACTGTCTCAGTTTTCTGAAAGCAAACAAGTAAACACAAAGGTAAACCTGGAAATGGAATGTAGAATATTATGTAAACTTCCTTGTAAATTCTGTACATAGTTCATTGAACTGTTCCCTGTTGCATGGTGGTCCTTGGCTTTGGGTGGACATTTGAAAAATCTGAGCATTGTAAATAATGTAGCTTCAAGGCACTTGCTTTTATTCATGAAGTGAAATGACTAGTGATTTGGGTCCAAACCAGAATCTTTTTAGCTCTTGCTCTCTCTCTGCCATTTTTTGTGTGCACTTGTGTACCTCTGCCAGGTGTCTGTGATCACTGCCTCATGCCCCAACCCCACTGAAAGGGGCAGTAACTGCACGCCCGTGGGGCTCGGGAACAGTGCACCAGCAGAGACAGAAACTATAACGAGCTGCTCCTGGAAATGTGTCCTGAAAAGTGGACGTGTTTTTGAGTCATTTGTGGCTATTTATATATTCAGATACCGAATTATCTGTGCTTTTCAGGGTGTAAGGAGTGGGAGAGATCATCAAAATCAACAGGGAATCCAAAGCTTCATTTGTACCAATGGCTTTAGCTTCTAACTTTTTTCCTTCCTCAGTGTTGCCCAGAACTTTTAATAAGACTAGAAGTGGATGGATGGGTTTGGTCAGGGTAAAAAGTCAACTGCCCAAATGATAGGAAGGAGAAAAGGAAGAGATAGCAAATGACATTGATAACACCAGATGGCTGACTCATTTCTGAAAGTTGCAGAGGTAACCATGTCACTATTTTTAAAGGTAAAGAGAAATATTGGGAATTAAAACAAATGTGTGGGGTTTTTTTCAGCTGGGGGCCCAGAATATGTTTGATATATGCTAAACTTAAAAGAGAATTTGATAATTAAGTATTCTCAAATATATTTCTCCCCAGTCCTGATATTCTTGAAAAAAATTCAGAATGGTGGGATATTATGCCATAAGATGTGTTTCCATGCAAACTGGCAGTCCCAGGGAGAGTGATAGTATCCACAGAAATGCACATATCCAACCAAGCAGGGACATAGATTGGTTTTTTCCTTAGTAATATTTTAAGTGCCCAATGTCTTTCCTAGAGGTAAGAACTTGGCAAGACAGGGCTTTTTGTGCCAGCATTTTAAGTGCCAGGAGGATGCAGGGAACCATCACTGTGAGACATTTTGGTTCCAAAATGTGCCAACTAGGGTCCACCATCAACTGAATAAGAAAAATGCCCCATTGAAACTAATCAATTTCTAGGTTCAAAATACATTGTGCTTTTTACTTTAATCATGCTTTTTCTAGTTAACTGAAATCAACTACACTGACAGAAAATTAATTGTTAGAGTTTACAACTCAAAGCAAGCATTTGAAAGGGAATGAATGCCTCTTAGAAGAGTTGCAAACGAGAAAACACTAAGTTCCTGGAAGGGTAAGGGAAAGAGTTTGGAGTTTGCTTTTACTTCTACAGTTGCAAGAATTCCCTGATTTGAACTCAAGACGTCTAACAGTTGTTTTGCTTTTCCTAATCAAAAAGTCCTTGGTACATTAAGGGGCTCACAACCATCCCTGATGGACCCCTACACACTTTGCACGTCCTGGAGCAACCAGCACTCATCACAAGGGCTTCAGTAGGAATTAAACATGGGAAAAGTTGGTGTAGTATTATCTGAACCAGCTGGGAAAGAAAACCATTCCATTGAACAACTCTACCTGCATTTCCTCTGCAGACAATAGAAAAATAAATCAATAAAAGAGAGGCCAAATAACTCTATGCATTTGCCTTAGGTATACAGGGTCACAGATTCACTGGCTTAAAACAGCCCCAGTTGGAAGCCAAAGGACAAATAAGAGCAATCAGTGCTGCTATCTGGCTCCTACTTCTCCCTGGGTTTCCCTCTGAAGAGAAATGGGAGAGGGGGCATTTTCCAGTCTAGTTTTCATGAGTGGAAGTGTTAGAGTGTGGTGTGCGCATTGTGCGGGTTTGGCTGCGTGAAACAGATTACCTCTCGTGTTCATTCCTTCCTGGCGCCACGTAACCCTGACCCTCACGCCTTAACCCAATGAAATTGATTCATTTACTTTTCCTCTTTCTCACTTCAAACCTCATAAGCTATCTTGCCCATGAATAGCTGAAAGCTTCAGCTTCCATGGACTTATATTGTACATCTTCAATTGAATCCACAAAAAGTAATAAATTTTAATAATTTTTCCAAATACCTACTCCTGTTGCCTTTCAAAGGCCTTGGGAGGTAGCTTGTGTCCTCACAAGTAGCCTCCTCTTACTGCCTTGGGTTATTTTTTTCTGCTCTTCAGTCCCTTTTACAAAGAGCACGTGTGTCTACACAAACCTTCTCTCTCCCAGCATAATTCAAATGAAACTGAAAATAAAAATTATTAGCTGAAGCCTAGGAAAATTTATATTATCTACACCAATGTTTGACAATAATATCATCTCTCTACATTATAGTTGTAATGTGGTGAATTCATACAGTATCGGTTCTTTTTCATCAAACTCATTTATTCGCACCCTCCTTCAGCCTTACTTGTACACCATTTAAAAATCTAGTATTAGTCCTCCTAGGGTGCTTATCATTCACGTCGCACCACGCTGGCTCCAGGCTGTCCTCCGGGAGCTTGGCCAGCTTTTTTCTTTCTGCGTCTTACTCCTGTTACAGATTTTCACCTCTGTGCCTCACCCTCCCTAGTCCCCCTTGAGAGTCTAGCAGACATCAAATCTGGTTAGTAATTGGGCGGTCAGAATGCAGACTGTCTAAACTGCCCCTATAAAATAGGTAGAATATCTTTTCCCTCTAGATAGCGTTTCTATAATTAGAGAACAGAGTTTTCTTTAAACATATACCAAGCAACGTGCAGCCTAACATTAAACATTAACAATAAATGAGCTGCACGGTGGGGAGAGGGAAAGTATAGTGGGATGGACGACACCTTGAATTCACACTGCGTGGCCTGGCCTTTATCCTGTCGCTGCCGCTGCCCTGGTATGTGACTTTGGACATGCCAGCAGATGAGCTCCAACTTCCCTTCCAGAACTAAATTTCAAAGGGAGTTGTTTTCATTTGTATAGGAGATTCCCAGAAAGATAGAGTACCATGGCCTCCACTAACGTAACCCTACAAGTTGAGTGATATTCCTTGTTGGGTGTCTTTGGGAGTAAGCCAGCAGGCTATCAGGTGAATCGAATTCAATACTTTTTCATATACCTTTAAAAAGTATATAGAACTTAAAGTTAAATTGACAGGCAAGTGGCAAAAAATCATTTTATGATTTTGGTAATGGTCTATAATACAGTATTTCCCTTTAAGAGCATTGGAGACTCTCTGGTGATGTCAATCAGTGTGGTTTCTATTTTTAGCTCTCTCACTCAGAAAAGCCAAGAAATACCCTTTGTGAGTGCAAAAGCCAACTTCTAAGTAACATCTGAGCAGAAATGCTGCTGCAATTCCCTTCAATGTTGCTCCCCACTCCTGGACCCCATCACTGTCTTGTGTCCTTTCTGCCTCGATGAGCCAGGTTTGGGTTAGTTCAAAAATGAGTGGAGAGTAGGAGGAAAGAACAATTTCCACTCCCAACAGCTAGCTACCAGCAAACAGCCTTGGTCTTCTATGCTTCTCCACCCTTCCCCCAGGCCACACTAAAGCCTTTGGCTCCTCTCAAGGGAAAGCGTAGAAGGACCCGCTTGCACAGCAACGAAATAGCCTAGATTGTGCCCCGGTTCTTTTGGGATAACATCATTGTCAGGGATCATATGACCCAGCCTCCCTAAGACAGTAAGACAATCCCCGTGGTGTGTAATTATCATAGAGCCACTT